TAATATCTGATAACCCTATACTTATTTCCCAGATTTCGAATAAAGTTCGCGCCATCAACTTTCTTTTTACTTATCGACGACTTTCACCAAGGCAATTTTCAGTTTCTCAAGATTTCCTTTAAAGAACAGATTCAACTCTGACCCCGAAACATTTCAGTAACTGTGTAAATTTGAATGTATTTCTTGAAGCACCCGGTAGACAAGAGCGGTCATCTTCGTTCTGAAGATTTGGAATGGAGAGGTTAGTGAACTTCGCCAACGAACCTTGCCACCTATACATGGTTCCCGTAACGTTATATATCGCGAATAATAGATCGTGTCCTCTCCGTCTGATCGTGGAAATGCGGGCAATAAATAGAAGATAAGAGCACGGTAAATTAGGGGAGTGCGTTAGTGGGCACGTTCCATTTGCCGATCTCAAACCCTAGCTACTAGATTACTAATCCAGCATAATGTCTCTCGACGATGAACCTTTGCTGATTACAAAGTTTGACAGTAACATGCAATATGCACTAAAGAGGGAAAGAAGTTTAGAAAGAGTATAAGAAGGAAATTCTTATTACACCAACACAAAGTCGACGATCTATTGAACGTCGCATCAATCACCTGATTAATTTTCGCGTTGCAGAAAGTTAATGGACGTCCGCTATGAAACGTTTCTCGTTAACTCGAACGGGTAAACTTCGAAATTATGCATTACGTATGTACGTACATATGTCGCTGTTCCTACTAAATATTTAATCGAAGTTACGGCGCGACCATATCATCGGCGATAACGCGTTAAATTCTCACTGCAACAAGCGTCACGTTATCTATAACACCACGTCAGCTCGAATAGTGCTAGCTATTAATAATTAACTGTGGCTGATTCGCAGCGTGACGCAAAACGCTGTTAATCGCTAGTTGCACGAATGAACCGTCGGCTACGACCGGGGGGCCAGCGAAAATGTTTCAGCAACTTCAAACATCGTGTCAATTTCAAATTGATATAATAATTTTAAATCCATTGGATTCAATTTGCAAATTAATCGAAACACTCTGGCAACTATCGTAGATATATTGCAGCAATTTTAAATCGATTTTGTATAGGAAATCAAATAGCGTTTGTTTGCTCCACTGAAACTGGCCGTTTTCAAGATTAAACAGTCAAATAAATTACGTATGGCCACTGTAGTTATGCTAAAATAGAAAATTAACGACGTGACGATATAATTAGCGAAACGCAATGGTGTATCCGGCGTTAGAGGAGGAATTGAAACGCGGACACGCTATCTAAAACCGTTCGCACGCGCAATCCAGATTACACCTGCATCGCTACTATTACTTGAACAGTTACACTTTCTCCTCAACGTCTGCCCGCTCCGCACCGCAGGAGAGAGCACAGGTAAATTATTATTGTTAAACGAGCTGCTACTGTTCAAAATATTATACATATACGTGTGCGTGCCCACTCTCTCCCTCGGTTGCATATTTAAACAACGGTTGGAAATATCCTTAGATAATACGCCGGCGAATACATTACGAAAGCGGCCGAGTATACAGAAACGATCAGATGCAATTATTATTTATTAATCATTCCTCAACTGAACCGGAGCGAATCGAGACCGAAATAATTTCCCACGTTCGATTTCGACGTTGGTTAAAATTGAAATAAATAACTCGACTCATATTATCGAATATTTTACATTTACGTCAATTCGAAGAGCGAGTCATTCAAGGATTAAAATGCATATAGCGAAAGTGACGAATTTTGTTTCCAAGAAATAATTCATTTACTAAGTATTTACAGAAGATTCGAGTTATCGATATTATTGTGATATCACGGTGTGAAAATGTCATTGAAAATATGATGGAATCTGATAACCGATAGAAGAAAGGAAGTATGCACGTATCTACTATTTAACGATAGATAGCCAGGTTGTTACTCCTATCTTAAGAATGACGAAACTATACAAGCACTGGCTAACAGTGCAATGATGCGCGCGAATCTAATGCATAATGCATTCGTACGTCGACAGCTTTCTTTAATTCGCTGCAGCGACTGATGCGTAAGCCGAGACGACGGACGACTCGTATTACACGTAATTACGAGTCGTATTATTTCATGAACGAGTACGCACTCATTTTCATTCTTCGTGGAATTAATAATACGACCGATACTGTAAATGAGGAAGCCTCCGCGATTTCGTGGACAGGAATCTTTTCTCGTTTAATTGGCCGAGACGCAAACCGGTCGTGCATCAGGATTTCGAAATACCGAAGAAAGCTCTTAATAAGATACTATCGAGGTCCCACCGTGGCCTTGCACGATAAACGAGGTGACTGGCCGTGCCAAACTTTCTTTTTTAATTCACCGCGAATGTTTTCATTAGACGCATCGTATCGAGATGCCATTCTTCTAACGCTAAGTAGAATGGCGATAGGGTAACGAGTTTTATAAGTTACGCAGATAACGATCCGGGTGAAACGAAGGTAATTCATCGAAGTTTGTGGAAGACAATGCGCTCGCTGAATATTCCTTAGGCATTGTGTTGCGCTTAGGCGATTGTCTCCGTCGAACGCACGAAAGCGGAGAAAGGATCGGGATTAATTATGTGTAACGGGGTTCTTTCCACGCGTAAAACCAAGTCGATGCAAAATAAACGTCTCGCGGATTACAGCGCCGATGAAAGTCGAGAGAAACGCGATGTTGCTTAATTAATCGCCTTTCGTGTCGTTAGCTTAGAAAGAGCTGCTGCGGAGTTCTCTCCGCGCGAACTTTAATCATCTTCTTTTGTTCCTTGTTTATATAATATCCATATCGGAAGATAATTTCTTTTTTTAAAGCTTTAATTCACGACCGTATATTTACCGCGCGTCCCGCAATGTCGATTATTTCTAGAAAATGCAACGGGTTTTGCAGAAGATTAACCTGAATAATGCAAGGGTGCATAGATAGCGTAAATACGGCACCGAAAATAACTATGAGTTCGCCCACTCGTATGATTTAGAAATTCAGGCAACAATCGGGCGACCACGACTCGGACTAACGTTGCGTAATTGACATAAGAATATAACAAATGTATGCATTGCATTTACACGTGTCGAATTGCGACTTTGGTAACAGATCTATCCATTGACACCGTTTACCGAAATGAAATGCATCCAAATAGCGAAATTTACCCAATTCTGATGGTAAAAGACGAGCAAACGTGTCGCGGTCCAAGACGACCACGTTCCAAACGCGAGGAACCTCGCATTTAGACACAGTTATTGCGCAGACAACGCCACCAGCCGTAAAGCTATTACGTCGTTGTTACAATAGAAATAAATATTGTATTTAGAGAAACTAGTACATCACTCATAAACGCGCACCAAATTCCCTTTATTACAAACAAGTGTTCGTGCTTTTATAGCAATCGCGTCAACATCTTAAGTCGTCAACAAATCAGTTTGGACCGGTTGAAATTGTATCTTGAATTTTTATCGTTTTTATGCGAGTTTTGGTCGACGATTGGCGTCGTACCAATCGATCTTCTTATTTTCATCGGCGCTACTGCCTTATGAAAAAACAGGCGATGGGAAACTGCATCGGAATCTGAAGAGATATCGAGGCGATGCACGTTCCGGTGCGCGTCCTTGAAATTCCAAATTCGCCCGGCCATAAGTGGCCCGCGCCCGATCATTATGCATATGAGCGATCTATGCAAATTGATCGAATCGCGTTTGGAAGGAAAAACGCGTGTTCGCCGCGTGATTTATCGCCCGACATGCCTGTTTTAAGCCTGCCCTTCAACCCTTTCGCTCACGTAGTGCACTTTGATATTTCCATGAAAGTGATAAATCAAGCATAGATCATACCAAATTTAGTACCTTTGTTCCTAAGTTCTTATAACGATCGATCCATTGATTTACTAAAAATGTTATTGGTTTGAATAAAATTATATAGACGATTAAGTGCAAGAAAAGAAAGATTTGGCTCGGTTAATTTCCAGCAATAATACGCGGTTACGTTGGATCGCAAATTTTCGAGGGTATCGATCCCTGCGTCGCGTCGTCGCGTCAGACACTGGAGGAGGATTCGTTCAACCGGCGAGGCCGGGTGAGAACAAACTTGCATAAAAAGTGAAGGTGACCGGCGGTGATTCACGAGGGCTGATGCCCTCGTTGTCTGGCATTCGGTTTATAGGAGGACGGAGGTAGAGCAGGAGGTGGAGGGTCCTTGCGAGCCGACTTCTCGTCGAAGTAGCGCTCGACTCCGAATCTTTCTGTTTCCACAAATGAGATCCCGATTGATTTATCACGCATATGCGATCTCATCGAAACTGACACTCCTACCTTTAATTCATGACTACACAATGGCATATAAAAACTACCCCATAGTTCGTTCTCAAACGGATCGCGAATCATTGTCAAACCTATGTACCCTTTCATCGATTAGAGTGCCTAATTCTTGAGATTCACAAGATTTTTAAATGATATCTATTGCATACATTCTTTCGAATCTCTCCTAAAGGAAATCCCAATTAAAAATGCAATCTGATCAAACAGATTAATTACAGGTACAAGAACAGTTAAGGGGCGCCCGAAGAGATGCAGGTAGAAAAGAATTTCATAGAGTGCAGCGATGCGTCGAAAAGCGAAGCAGCGGAGCGGAGCATCGACACGATGCTGTCAGCGTCGCCGCGCGGCGCAATCTAATCGCGCGCGTATACGACTACGACTCGGTGCACCTACTACAAAACGCGTTATCGAAGTGGGGGATAACAACGACACGAGAGTAGCCGCTTGGTGGGGCAGGTTCGCGGGCAGGGGCACTGTTCTGACTCTGACGCAGAAACCGGACGACCGATAGTAGAAGGGAGTGCACATAAACCGAGGCATAAACCAGGCATAAACTCTTCCCCCGGCGTCGCGGCGCGGCGGGTCCTTTCCCCTACTCGTTCACCCTCTCTACCTCTACTTCTCTCCTCACGAACGCCAGACACGATCACGTACACACCGACACACGCACGTGACAGCGTCACACAGCACGGCACGGCACGGCACAGCCTTCTCGCATCAAACTCGAAGCCAGACGACATTGGGGCCAAGACGGCAGTCGCGCAGCGTGTGCATTCAGTTTGCAGGCCGACACCGTACCGAGCGGACGTGCGTCTCTTACTGCGTAAACGCTGTATCAAACGTTTTCACCATCGAGCGAGCGGAGCCCCGAAGTAAAAGGAGGCACACGTAACACTCCTTGTCACCTGCTCGACAAAGTTCAAGTTCAACGGTGTATCGAGGAAACGAGCCGGATTCGCGTATCACCGGACAGATATTTTTTCCGATCAGTGTTCGCGTTATCAATCGGTTCTCTACGACCTGTGCCTTTTCTCCTTTCGGCCGAGAGGAGGGAATTACGGGAAATCGGAGGATAATATTGTTCCGTCGCAGCGTCGTTGACGCGATTCTCGTTTTACGCTATTGGATTTTCATTTTGGTGTGATAACGTAAATCGTCGACTCTCGAGGGATTCGCCTGGATTTTAACCAGTGGAAGAGGGAGAACGGTTCCTGATCGTCGCGAGCCGCGATAACAAGCGTTATTATGACGGTGACTCCCGTCGCGTTGGTTCGACGAACGGGATACCTCAACCAGTGACTGTCTCCGTGTCTCGCGGATAAACTATACACACTTTTTTTTACGGGCAATCGACGAGCTTTCATTACACTTCGACGAGGCAAAGTGGATCGCTGTTTCGTCGTTCGTTCGTGCACGACAGAATCTTTCAAAATTGGTGAGTACATCGCAAATTTTTCTAATGACTCATCGAATTTCGTAAAAATCCTTGTTTGTTTCTTTTTTGAGCGGAAACGATTACGAACCGGCCTTGAAAGAATTTGTAGAACAGAACGCGTTATCTACTGACTACTTGTCACGCGCCAGGACTTTGAATCAAAACCCGTGTTTTGAAATAACTAAACGCATCCTACGTGCTTTACACCGATTTTCTCGTTTTCGTCGAAACGTATCATTCTGTCACCTGTGCGAACCTGAGAAACCGATGAATCAACGAATTCGGAATAAATCGGAGTGAACTTTCGACAGGACGTGACGCCTGGCGATAATTAAGATGTTTTTTTTTTTCGGAGAAATCGATCGATCGCCGCGATTGCCGTGCGGCGCGCTGCGCCGCGCCGATATTTTCTCAACGACCCTGAATTATTCCACCGTCGATTCGGAGACTCTGACCTTCGGGACCGAAACGAGTGACGCAACGTCTGACTGCAGTTCGCGGGCGCAATAAACTCGGTTCGTTCATTGTTTTCGATCGATCCCGTCTATCTTATCGCGTTATCTTATCGCGCTTTCGTTTCTTTCTATCACGAGCTCGTTAATTTTAATACGGATAAAAGAAATAAGTTTGCGATGATACGCGTCCGGTTATTATGACGGGACAACAGACAATTTCGATTCGAGTCAGTCGCTTACGTTTATGACTACGAGAAATGGCCAGCGCTTACGAAAGTCTCGTGCAACGCGTGAGCAATACCGTTGCGTCACTCGTGACGAAGCGAAGAAGATTCCGATCTTTATCTCTCCTCGCCTCGTCAAGACGAATATTACCGGACGGAGCGCTCTGCCCTCCTAGGTTTTACGCTGCCGTTTCCCAAACAAATTTTTTTCAAATAAACCCTGGCTGATGTAACGTGCACGCGCCACTGAAGATTCATTCAAGATAATTAAAAACATCCAACGAAATATCTAAACAATTAAATTTTGTTAAAACTTGAATCCATCAATAAACGTTTATAAAATCTTATAACCATCTTTTATATTTTCGAATACATTCGTAATCCCAAGGCCAAAGACATTTCCTAGAAACATTCATCTCTTATCGGTTACTCAGGCGTCAGCCTATTGTTCAGTTATCTACTAATCAAGTGACAAAGTACATAGAAATAACGAGTTAGAACTTTCAACATTCATTGGGAAAATATTAATTTAAGAAGAAACGGTTAAACAAATGAAAATATTGTTTGCACGTGGATTCGGATCGATCCCGATCCTCGTTCGGAACGGGAACTGCTGGGTGTACTCGGTTCTCGTCCGCGTTTTGCGTTCTGTACATCCCCCCAACCGACGTTCGATCGATCCCACTACTCGTCCTCTTGCCACCGCCACCTTCTCTCTATCGTGGCCAAAGTGGGCCACGGCCTAATTTGCAGAACTCTCAACCTCGCCGTAGCGAAAAGAGCATGTATGCAATAAGCTTCACGGACTCTGAGCGAAGGGCACGCACGTGTACACACGCTCTATTCGGACGCGAGCACGATTTAAAATCGGTCACGAATGACCGAACTAGAGGTGGTGGCAACGGGGAGAAGCACGGTTGAAGTTCTGGTTCCTTTCGAATTATCGTAGAGGATAATTTTGATCGTCCGATATTGGATTTCGATTTAATGCTCCGCTTTATGGCTGCGAAACGATTCTAATTTTGACGGTGCAGCACCGTTATCGATAATGCACGTTATCGTGTACGAGCGTGGATAAATAGATTAACTTAAAATAGCTGCGGAACGCGCGTTCGATCAGTAACGTTAAGTGTACCAGACGTTCGGAGAGCGTAAGAAAAATGCGGTTGAAATTGTGTCACCGTACATACGTAAGTCTAGTTCGATCGTGCAATTGTAGACTCGCGTTTAAACTCGCGTGTTGCACCCTGTTGCAGCTGCTTGCGTTATCGATACGGTTGTTCGTCTCTATACAGTCTCCGAACGGCCTAATAACCCAATCGGTTTATCGATAATTACGTCGCAACCTGACGCAATCGAGCGAATCCGAGGGTCATTACCGTCCCGTGAATTCAATTAACTGCCTCCTACACTGCATGAAATATTGCGACATTGGAAGCGGTGTTCGTATAAAAGTGTATAACAAAACTGTTATCTTTGCATACACTTTAACTCGTAGGAAAATAGCCGATGTTAATGTTTGCATTCAAGACGGTCAACTTTTTATTGTATATTTTATATCGAACGGCCTCGAGGTCAGCCCATCGGACTTAGCGGATTCGCATTGTGCGCGACTGGTTCGCTATCTCGATCGGTCGATCTAGATTGTTTGATGTCACATCGATCCGGATTAGCGGTATCTACGGTTCGCGGAAATGCATGACGCGCGTCTGGTATTATATTCTCGTGCACAGACCGACTCGAGCTCAGTTCACGCATGCCCCGGGTACGAGTTACATACTCCAAAACAGTTTTCTTCTTTGTACAAGAAACGTGTAGATACTCTTATGTGTCTCCGTGTCTGTGGTCGTGCGCGTTAGTGGTGGTCTGTCTTAGATATTGCGGACGGTGCATTGCGTCATCGGGCGTTCATCGATCACTCTTCGTACTTCGTCGCTCCAAGACAATTTTCATAACGCGACCCTACCTAATGTGCTGAATGTCCTCGGATTTTCTCCTCGATTTAACCGTCAGGTAAATAATAATCGACCGAAGGCCCAAGACAAAAAGAAACGGGCGCGCTATTTTTTCTCCTACTTAAGATGCAACACTTTATCTTGCGCTTAAAAAAAAATTTTGAAATTATTTTTTTCTGCGCATAAATATCCAGACAATTTGCATGAAACTTTTGTCTTCGGTACACGCGGTCTTTTACATTCCAAATTCTATTTATATCTCGTTCACCGTCGTACGTTTACGCAACAATTGGAAACACGAAAGCCACGTTAGAATAGAATTAAAAAGACGATATGAATTGCAACGAAAGGATCGTTAGCAGTGGTTGGTGGATCGGCGTGATCGGGCTCGCGGTTTATCAATCATATTAGGAAATATCGGGCCCCGTTGTTCCCGGTGACCTTTTCGCGTTTCTATTATGCAACGAAGGTGAATGGTCTAGCATAACACGGCGTGCACGTGTAGGAGTCACGTGGCGGGAGCGCAACCATAGCGAGGAGAGAAAGAGAGGGACAGAAGAGCTCTAGCCTAGAGCCGGCGCGCGCCAATTGCATTTGCTATCCTATCCTATGCACCGGTTGCATCACGCACCGCGTGTTATTTCTTAAGCCGGTCCTGCATTGTTTATCGAGCGATACGCCCACTCGATCGCTCTCCTATCTCTCATTCTTTCTCTCCCGAGAGCCATTAGGAATCGTGGAATTTCTAGTGATAAAAACGGTTCTATATCATTCGTAGCAAAGACACTTGGATCGTTCCCTAATCGCAGACTCCCTTCAAGCGAATTTTTATTCTGCGTAGTCGTAATCGTATCGTAACGTAATATTACTCGGTCTCGTTTAGCCGTTTGCTACGTAACAACTTAGAATTGCACTTTGGCCCGTGTGTCAACAACACGCTCTATTTTTCCGCGCACGTAATAAAAGCGACGGTACAAATAAAAATAAAACGTGCTCGCGTTCGGTATCCGTTCCACGTGCTCCTTACGTAACCGCGCGCGCGGCGTAAGTAAAGCGTTATACTCGCGAAACGGGTAACACGTTACCTCAGGTCACGTGTCGACGTCCGACACGTTCACGTGGATCGCATGAAAATTCAGATAACAGACAATTACGACGGATGACGCGGCCTAAATACTCATTGCGCTTCGGTATTGTCTCCGTCGTGGTTAAAGCTCTATCGCGCGTCGCAGTGGGATATTTCTATCGACGCACCGGATTTTCCTATTGTTCGCACGCTCGCGATAATAGACGAAATTATCATTGCACGTGATCCCGATACGCAATACCGTGAACGAAAACAGTCGGTCGTTCAAGGTTGCCGCGGTATCTTGGAAACTGAAGACCGGGGTATAGAACGGGTTGAAAATAAATTAACCGAGCTGGAATCGATCAACGTTCGTGCCCCAACTTTTGGTTCGTTGCTCGCGTAATAAATGCCCGCATTCCTGTTGCGCCACGCTCTACAGATTTCAAGATCATTTCCGACCGATTGATTTAACCGCATAAATTAAACGTTTAATACCTCTTTATGAAATATACTCGGACGAAAAAAACCTGACCGTGTCAGTGGCACAAAATCGAAGATTCCAACCGTACGTTTAACTGTATATACGAGCACGAGTAACCGAGTGCTCCAAAATGAAACAGGATGCGCGACGGAGAGCAACACCGTAGGAAGGAAAGGGTGTCGACGACGCGCGTCCTCGTTTTTGTCTTTCCTTGCTGGATCGTTGACGGTCGCGTTATCGCGGGCCAATTACATAATGAGGCGGGGAAACGAAATCGGAGACCGGTTCGAAATGCCTGCGTCGGCCCGATAACGGTATCAGTGGTCGTCAGGCTCTTACGTGAGCGGTTGACCGCAATCGTAACACGCCACGGTGTCGAGTGGCTCGGCATTGTGCACGTGCCTTTATGTACTGTACTTAAAGTTCGACGTACTCCGAGAACTATTTCAGGCCCGCGAACCCGCGTTTCTGCCCAACGCATTTTTGGAACGCTGACGGTCCCCCTCGGCGTTCCTTGTTTAAATGCCGCGACCAACTCATGGAGCTTTAAACCTTGTACGCGAAAAAATTCTCATGCCCTTCCCACAAGTCGACGTAAAACGATTTAAAAAAAAAAAAACTGTTTACAGTTGTAGTATCTAGCATTTCCTGTGTAGTAACTACAACTTCCGGTGTTACGATTCGAGCAAATCCTCCGTCGATGAACTAGCTAAGACGCGGCTGAATGAAGCGGGCTCGAACACGCCTCCGCTCTTAGATCTTACATAACGATCTCGTACACGTACACGGAACAGAGAATCGCGTTCGCAACTGTAA